TCCAGGGTTTTGTGTGATTTGCATTTCCCTGATGATTAGAGATGTTGAGCATTTTTTTCATGTTTTTTGGCCATTAGTCTGTCTTCTTTTGAAAAGTTTCTGTTCCTGTCTTTTGCCCAATTTTTAATGGGGTTGTTTGGTTTTTTTCTTGCTGATTTTCTTGAGTTCTTTATAGATTCTAGTTATCAGCCCTTTATCAGACGCATAGCATGCAAATATTTGCTCCCATTCTGTGGGTTGTCTATTTGCTCTAATGATTGTTTCCTTGGTTGTGCAAAATCTTTCTAATTTAATCAAGTCCCATTTGTTAATTGCTGTTGTTGGTCTGATTGCTTTTGGAGTCTTCTTCATAAATTCTTTGCTAGGCCAATGTCTGTAAGAGTTTTTTCCAACACTGTTTCTAGAATTATTATAGTTTCATGCCTTAGGTTTAAGTCTGATATCCATCATGAGTTGATTTTTGCGAGTGGTGAGAGGTGCAAATCCTGTTTCAGTCTTCTACGTGTGGCTATAATTTTCCCAGCACCACTTATTGAATAGGGATTTTTTCCCCCAGTGTATGTTTTTATCTGCTTTGTCAAAGATCAGATGGCAATATGAGGATGGTTTTATATCTGGGTTCTCTGTTCTGATCTATTGTCTATGTCTCTGTTCTTGTGCCAGTACCATGCTGTTTTGGTTACTGTAGCCTAGTAGTATAGCTGGGAGTCTGGTAAATTGATGCATCCCAATTTGTTCTTTTTGTTTTAGGTTGCTTTTGCTATATGGGGTCTTCTTTGGTTGCATATGAAGCATAGAGTTTTTTTTTTTCCTAGATCTGTGAAAAATGATGTTAGTATTTTAATAGAGATTGCATTGAATCTGTAGATCACTTTGGCTAGTATAGACATTTTAACAATGTTGATTCTGCCAACGCACGAGCATGGTTTTCCACCTGTTTACATCCTCCGGTATTTCCTTCCATGGTGTTTCATAGTTCTCTCTGTAGCGATCTTTCACCTCCTTAGTTAAATATATTCCTAGGTATTTTATTTTCTTTGTTGCTATTTTGAAGGGTATTGAGTCTTTGATTTGTTTCTCAGTTTGACTGTTGGTGTACAGGAATGCTACTGATTTGTGTACATTGATTTTGTAACCTGAGACTTTGCTGAATTTATTTATCAATCCCACTAGTTTCTTGGCAGAATCTTTGGGGTTTTCTAGATATAAGATCATCTTGTCAGCAAAGAGCAATGCTTTGAACTCTTTTGCCCCCATTTGGATACCCTTGATTTCCTTCTCTTGTCTGATTGCTCTAGCTAGCACTTCCAGCACTATGTTGAATAGAAGTGGTGATAGTGGGAAACCTTGTCTGGTTCCAATTCTAAGCAGGAATGCTTTCAATTTTTCCCCCTTTAGTATGATGTTGACTGTGGGTTTTTCATATATGGCTTTTATAATTTTGAGGAAAGTCCTGTCTGTGCCTATTTTGTTAAGCATTCTTATCATCAAAGGGTGCTGAATTTTGTCAAATGCTTTTTCTGTGTCTATTGAGAGGATCATATCGTCTTTGTGTTTACTTCTATTTATGTGGTGAATTACATTTATAGATTTGTGTATGCTGTACCATCCCTGCATCTCTGGGATGAAGCTCACTTGGTGGTGATGAATCTAGATATTCTAAATTTAGCTCATTGTTTCCCTGCAATGTCAATTAACTTACTCTTTCATGCTTTGGATGCCCTGCAAACTGAAAATGCATATATGAGTTTAATTGCAATACAAAAAGACTGATCTCTTCAATGTTATAAAATAGAATTTCTACTAGGAGAAATGTGGAATTTTCATTTCTAATAGGCTCGCCAGGTGATTCTTACACACATTAATGTTTAAGAATTACTACATACAACATTCTTGAGCAGAGAATATATTCTTGATGAAGAATGTTGACCTGGTAATTGAGTGAAATTAGGAAATAATTGCAATATTTCAGGTAAGAGGAGGAAGACATGAATTAGGATGCTAAAAGTGGTCATATTAATAGAAACATTATTGATCATCAAATTTAGTTTAATTAAGCATTATCATATTACTTTTATTCTTTCTTTTTAAACAGGAACAACTGGGATATCAGGTGAATCAACTACATTGGCAAGAAGCAGCACTGGAATGCCAGACAGTGAGTTTGTGTTGGGATTTCATACCCAGTAAATAGCTAAATAATCACAGAAGCCTATTCATTCAAATCAATTATATTGGTCAAAAACAAAGCTATTGAAAAACTCAAAAAAATAAATGATGAGAATGTTTAAGAATTTTTAATATCTTCCTTGATTTCTTAGAAATTTTAGAAACTAATGTAATCCCAGCTGCTTTCCTCCAATAGAAGGGTCTGTGGTAGCTACCACTGGAGCAGGCAGTGGGAACATGGCTGGAACAGCAGGCAGGAAAAACAAGCACATCTTAGTGTTTGACCAATGGTCAAAAACAATTATTATATATA